AGGCGGCCTGACCACGCTTCTCGGGTGCAGAGTGTTTAGGTACTTGGAGGATCATGGGACTTAGTAAGTAAGGGTTTATTGTTTAGGGTTTAGGGTTTAGGGTTTAGGGTTTAGGGTTTAGGGTTTAGGGTCTAGAGTAGTACTTGGAGGATCATGGGACTTAGTAAGTAAGGTTATAAGTCCCCTAATTGGGGTTATAAGTATAGTTACCTTTACTATAACCCTACTTACTAAGTCCCACGATCCTCTAAGTACCTATAGTCTCCATTGTAGTTCCTTTTTTTGTGTTAACCAATTTTATGGTCAGGATCCTCTAATATAAGTTTGGTTAACCAAAAAAGGAACTACAATGGAGACTATAGGTAAACCCTAAACCCTAAACCGTTCGTAACGTGTAGAACTTGGAAGTTTCGAGTGTTTAGAGCTGATGCGCTTTGGTATAGCGCGGCAGCAACTTGAGAGGGGCGCAGCTGTGCAGGGTTCTGTGTACCAATCTGCCCATGCGCGTTACGGGATTACTGACTTTGGCTTGCTAGGACTATGGAATTGAGAAAGAAGGAGAAGGGCTGGACCCAAAGAAATGCAAAAAATCGGGTTCGGCAGGCTTTGGGGGGTTCCACCATGTTCGGGATCCTGCAATTCGGTATCCGTGTGGGGCCCTCTAAAATTTCAGATACGCATACTCTGGTACATGCACAGCAGAAACCTGCCACGCCCCGTTGGTCTAGCAGGGAGCGATTGAAGAGCTAGTAAACTCTAAACCTACTTAAAGGATCATGGGACTTAGTAAGTAGGGTTATAATATGTTATAACTAGGGTAACTATACTTATAACCCCAATTAAGGGACTTATAACCCTACTTACTAAGTCCCATGATCCTTTAAGTAGAAACGCCTAGGAGGAAGCCAGAGGCCTGAATTCTGCGGTGTGCCTGTTTTCTGCTGAGGTCGGCTGCCCGCAGGGAGAATACCCACACAGCAGCCGGCTTGCAGAGCGTCCGGCTGGGCTCACTTTATTGTTTACAAGGCCCAAATAATTAGGGTGAAGGCTTGTCTTTGGGCTTGGTTTGGAAACTTAGGGTTTCAGGGTTGAGGTGCTGACCATGATGATGACGATAACGACGGTTCTCACTGTGACGCTTTATTCTCTCATCGTGTGGCACGGTTAACAGATCCTACTGGTACCCGAAACTTTGTAACACGATCCGTAACGAACCCCCCGTACCCCCTCCGCCCAAAACGGCGGAGTGTTGGGCCTTAGCCCTCAAGGGTACATGTTAATATAGGGGCCTTAATAATTAGAATAGGGTTTGGGGTATATTATACTTTAATGATAATAAGGAACCCCCAAAACCCTATCCTGATTATTAAGGCCCCTACATTAAACTTCTGTTGTACAAGTGGCGGATGCAGGAGGTCTTCTCGCGGGCCAGGCACCTACGGCCCTGCCCCATCTGCACCCTGGCAACGGCTGCACATAGGCTCCAACACCCTTCGTGATTAGGTCACATGAAACTCCTATTATCCACTGTTGGTGGTAATAATTCACCATAATTAAGTATTTTTAGTACCGAGGAGAATTTGCTGGATTTCCAATCCAGAATGATCTCCGAAAGCGTGAGTTTCAGTCCCCTTACCCAATGTCTCGAGCCGGCTTTATTTTTTGAACCCAAAACTACTCTTATGCTTAAGGCAAGGGAACCCTTAAAGGAATATTTGAGGCCCCTACAAGGTTTTGGGTCTAGGGTTTCGGGGTGTAGGGTGGTTTAGGGGTTTAGGGTTTAAAGTGTCCAAAGTTGCCCACATTGGGTGATTGTTACGAGCCTCTCTGCAGCCAAAAGCTTGAGGCTGAGCTCGAGCTCCTTTCTTTCAGAGATGGTCGACCGCATAGTTCAACATTCATGCTTTAGGGTTTAGGGCTTAGGGCAGTTTGGGGGTTCAGGGGTTCTACTGCCTAGGTTCTACTGCTGAGACCGCATGCATACCCACTCTGACCGTGACTGCTGGTGCCGGAGCAAAGCTACAGCTCGGTTGGCTCTTACGACCTCACCGCTGCTCGACAGCACTCTGCAGCCATCAGACACATGCGCCATCAACAAAAGAAAGGGCAAGTTCGGCTCTGCGAACACTTGTTCAAGCAGTGTCGAATTCTCCGACTTACGCCCTGTGGCATATTGCGGAAATGAGATGCTACATACTAAAGGCATGTGTGTTACAGTACACTGTGTAACTTGATCTCTTATCGTGAGTCGGAGTCGGGGGCCGCACTGGCCTGCATGCAATCAAAACTGGTGAAAAACGCGTTCAGCGTTTCAAAACTGAGTCATGCTGCCTGCACTCCCTGCAAGCAGCAAGTAAGAACAACAACAAAAATGTACATGGTAGCTTCGCACACCCAGGACCGCTGTTTGAGAAGCAAGCACAAGGCTTGTCAATCATGACGAGAGCCAGTCACAAAAACACAATAAGCGGCTTGCGGATAGTACATTACAGACCTGCCACTGAACTATATGCCTTTAACCCAAAATTCCGATCCTGACTTGTGGACTCCCATGCTGCCACTTCCTGAAGTGTGCAGCGTGGCTACATCCTTCGTGCACCATGGGATCAGGGCTCGAGGCCCATGTCGTCACACGTGCAGCTGGGGCTGGACATCTGTCTGTCCTCATGCTGGCGCACAGAAAGGAAGTGCTACATCCATGTTGAGAGTTTGAGACTTCTAGCGCTGACTGGGGGCATTTCTGCGAAATAGAGAATAGATTGTTGATACAAACATCTCTGCTACCGCTCTTCTGCAGTGATTTACTATGACGTGTTCCCGCGGCCACACTCGTTGCTCTTGTCAGACTCTTCGGAACGATGACTAGCAGTCGCAGTGCAAGCGACAGAAGCTTTAGTGATTCTTCATCCCGCTCTTTACGGGCTGTCGTTTCTTGAAATCCCTGCTGGCATCGTAAAGAGCTTCAGGTGGGAGAAACAGGAAGCTGCAAACGGAATTGCGAGTAGGTTGCGGTTTAGGGTTCAGATGAACGCGACCTTTCATGAAGTTGTAATGAAGATACGGCCCGGATAAAACCTGAAGTTCCTTAAGCTGCTTTGCTTCTTCAAAGGTTGTGTGAAGTCTCTCTTGTAGGCACAATGAGACATGGCGAATGATGATGGAACTCGTCGCACAAGTGTAGAAACAAGTGCCTCACTCGCTCGTTATCTCTTTCTGTCCTTCGCTCCCGTCCCTCCCTCCCCTCATTCCTCTCACTTCCCTCCGGTCTCCTGTCTTCCTCGCTCTCGCTCACTCTGTCTTTCTTTCTCCCTCTCCCTCTACCTCTCCCTCTCCCTCGCTCTCTCTCGTTCTCTCTCCTTTTCCCTCTATCCTTTTCCCTCTCTCCTTGTCTCTCTCTCTCTCTCTCTCTCGCTCTCTCTCTCTCTCTCTCTCTCGCTCTCGCTCTGGCTGTCGCTCTCGCTCTCGCTCTCGCTCTCGCTCTCGCTCGCTCTCTCTTGCTTGCTTGCGTGACGTTTGGGGCCAGAGGGTGTCCCCCGAACCCTTGCGCACAAGAGACATGACTGCCCCCCCCAACACTCACACACGCAAGTTGATCCCCGCCTCATAGGCCTCGACGGGCTCTGTGTGAGTGTTGGTGGTTGCTGTCAGCGTTGACCCCGCTTTTACGGGGTAGGGCGTTCTGCAGCTGCCCCTCATCTTGGCATCGTTGTCCTCTTTAGCATGTGCCCTAGTAAAAAACAACCCTGCCAGCTCTCTCTCTCTCTCTCTGTCTCTCTCTCTCTCTCTCTCTCCTTGTTTCTCCTCTCTCTCTCTGCGCTCCGAAGCGTGCTTGCCATCAGTTGTCTTCACAACATCGGAGTATATGTTCTGAAGAGGCATCATCCTGATAAGTGCTGTTCGTAAGTTCGTATTGAGTTTATAGGGCTTAGGATGGAACGTCGATGGGCTTTCCTCATCAAGCTACCTTTTAGGTGGTCCTTGGTTTCGTAACTCGATACGGCCCTCAATGCAACAGCTCAAAGACCGTTATGTAACGGCTAATTCAAAAGAACCCTGGGCATTCTGCATCGTGGTGATCAGGAGTGTACGAATCGCGACACATCTTCTCAACTCCACGACTACCATGTCAGAAACATTCATGAAGTTTAGGCTTGTCTCGGGGTTCAGAGACATCGCAGGGCTCAACTTCGTCAGGAAGTCTGCACAAAAGCACCTAAACCCTAAACCCCTAAACCCTAAACCCCTAAACCCTAAACCCTAAACCCTAAACCCCTAAACCCTAAACCCCTAAACCCCCAAACCCTGAATGCCGCTAGGGGTCCCAGCTCCGGGAGACGACATATGGTGATGCTGAAGAGAAGGCAGCAGATGCAAAACACGAAACCAGCCACACCAAGAGCCGCCGCGAGGATGATCACGAGCGTCGGGTGCTCCGGGCTTATCCCGTTTCTTGGTGTCGGCGGTTCCGTAGCACCGAACCATTCGTCCAGCCTCAGGTGGGCTACGGAAGATGTTGTGGATATAACACTGGTCGAATCGGAGAAGGATTCGGGACAGTCGCTCGTGTCGACTTCGCAGTCACCGATATACTCCTCGCAGCAGCAATGGCGAACCGAGTCCGCGAACGGGGGCTGGCTGTCGCACGAAGCCGTTCGATCCACAGTGTACCCACACTGGCCCCTTGCATCGGCGAAAGGAGTGGCGAGAGCAGTGGAGCTATTCAGCAAGGCCATACCCTTTGAGCAATCGTGGTTGGAAAGACTGCCCAGGACATCACGCACTGCAGCTACACTGCCCAGAAATGTCATCATCGTCTCGGGCCGGCAGCTCATGATGTCACTAAGGGCTTTTTCATTACACGGCCCGATTCCGTTACACACGTGGCTGCAGCTCTCTCGCTGCCCTCTCCTGCCGATGTACCAACCTGCCATGACGCAGGGCAGCCAGCTCATTACCACCAGCTGCACTGTCACAGCCATGGATGCCAGAGCCAGGCGACAGGGCCCAAAGTCGTGGCAAGGTAACTTGGAGCCGCGGGGCCAGCGAAAAAGACTTTCTGCTTTTCTGAACTCTGGCCTCCCTTTAAAGCCTCCAGGCTAAAGCCCGAGTCCTGTAGCCCTTTTAGATGATGACACGAAACTGCAACCCCCCAAACCCTAGATCGATAATAAAGGCCCAGATAATTTTCAAGGCTGCCAACTTCCTGCTGGCGGCGCTGCACTGCGGTTTTGGGCCGAAGTTTGGGTCGAAATAGGCAGGGTACTTGTAACCGTCCGAGTTCCTTTTCGGGTTCCAAAAGACGGTTCCTTGAGTGGTTCTTATAACTGATGGAAGTGGCAGCCTCGGGAATTTCGGAAATCAAGGGGTGTCGAATCTAGGGTGTGGGGGTTTGGGCCCGAGGTCATACCGTAGATCCTTGATGGCCGCAGCAAGACATGAAGGCCTCTACAGCAGGGACCCCTGCTTAGTCGAACACTGACAAGGCCCAACTCCCAAAATTCGTCGGAGCTTTCTAGAGATCTTGTTTCCGACAAACCTACAAAAAAGTCAAGCTCGAACCCGCACCCTAAGATGCTGAAAAACCTGGGCCGTCAATCCACCCCAGGGCCTTACACCTTTTCAACTGTAAAGGAACTACACAACTGGGCTCCAGGGTCTAAGGTCTTCCTAGATTTTACTCCCATGTCTGCTTCACAGCCTCCCGGTTGCCGCCCTCACGCTGATAACAAACAGAATGCAGCAAAGGGGCCTTATGACTTTATGGGTTGAGGTTTTGGGTTGGGAGAAGAACTATACTGTGTTTGTATTCGGAGTGCTATGATGAACACTGTCGCTAACTTTTCAGTCCCCGGCAACAGTATTGCTTCCTAGAGCCTGCCAGCCCAAAATGTCTGGGGAGGCAAAGTACGGACATACTGACGGAAGCACAAACAGCGAGAGAGAGAGAGAGAGCGGCACGAACAGAAGCCTAAACTTGCATGTATATATATATATACATGCACATACAATGACCCATATGCATGCATGCCATGGATGCAAAGATGGCAAACACATGCACATCTGTCAGGGTTGAGGACGGCTGGGCGGGAATGCGCCTTTTGCTCTGATGCTCATATCGTCATAGAGGCCCTGCCTGCAAGCGCTCACACCAGGACCTCGACCGCCTTCCCCGTTTTCTTACTCCTGGTCGGGTGCAGCCCCCAGCCCTGCCTGTCAAAACTCACCCTGGGCTCGGATTCGACGCTGCCGTTCTCTGGCTGGCTCGGGTCCCAAACACGGATAGAGCCGTCATCACTGCCCGAGGCAACTCGAAGGCCATCTGGGGAGTAGGACACGGAGTCCACCACGTCCTTGTGGCCGGTCAGGGTCCGCAAGCACTCGCCAGAGAAAGCATCCCAAATCTTTATGGTTTGGTCCCAACTACCCGAGGCGATGTGCTTGCCATCCGGGCTGTAGGCCACGGACCAGACGTAGTAGCTGTGGCCAGTGAGAGTCAGAAGGCAGGTACCGCTTTCTGCATCCCAGACCTTGACAGTGCGGTCATCACTGCCAGACAAGACGTGTGCGCCATCTGGGCTGTAGACCACCGACCGAAGATAATCCTTATGACCTCGGAGGGTTTGCAGGCATCGCCCCGTCGCGAGATCCCAAATCTTGATGGAACGATCTGCACTTCCAGATGCGAGGTACTTGCTATCTGGACTGTAGGCAACAGACCAAACGTCGTTTTTGTGTCCCTCTAGCGTCCACAAGCAGTTACCAGTGCTAGCATCCCAGATCTTGACTGTATGGTCCCAACCGCCAGACGCGACAGTCTTGGCGTCTGGACTGTAAGCCACAGATCGCACCTGAGCCGTGTGGCCCGTGAGAGTATGCAGACACATCCCTGCGGCTACATCCCAGATTCTAACAGTCAGATCTGCGCTGCCCGAGACGATGTGATTGCCGTCCGGACTAGGGGCTACCGACCAAACTGTGTCTGTATGACCGGCGAGAATTTGTAAACTCTGACCAGTGCTGGCATTCCATGTGCGCACCGTAAGGTCATCCGACCCAGAAACAAGGGCGGCACCAGTCGGCAACCAGCCTACAGATTCGACGGGCGAGCCCTCCCAAATCGAGGGCGGGGATACAGCCCACGCGCAGACAATCATGTTCAGAGCCAGGATAGCTGACGCCATGGCTGCAGATGTAACGCGTGGTCCTGGAACGGTTGCTCGAACAAACAACTTGCACAAAAGGCATACACAGCTGAATGCTGCAAGTTACAGTCCATGTCGGTGTGGCGCGATCAACAAACTCAATATCTCGAGCGATTCCCGCTGCCTAAACTCACGCACATGTAGACGTGCCATGATCAATTTGTCCTCACCCGTCGCCTCCTGAAAGCATCTAAAAGCCACGAATTTACGGGACCTGATGAGAACAAGAAGTGTCGTTCTTAGCATCACACCATTGCACCCTGCTACTGCTTAGGGCATGTGCCCCGAGCCGACATGTACGACTTTCATGCTCTGGGCCTGAAGAACCCTAAAGATCAGTTCTTAAAGATCCAACAGAGCGTACCCATAGGCCCCATAGTAGTTCCTTTTGGGGATTACCTAATGGGATCCTACATATATATAAGCCACAAAAAGTAGCTACTATGGGGCCCATGGATACCCAAGCCCAGGGTGCAATACATGGGCCCTGCATCCTTGAGTTAAACACCCTAAACCCTAAACCCCTAAATCCTAAACCCTAAACCCAAACCCCCAAACCCTAAACCCCTAAACCCTAAACCCCTAAACCCTAGTAGCCGTCTTTCTCCCTGCTGCGAG